ACCTACTTGCAATATTCAAATAATCCTGGTCCTTCCTTAACCAAGTGCCCTATTTGTATACTGAAAGATCTTATTCCAAACATACATGTATGTATTCAAGAAAGGCTACTGCATTCCTACCTTCTTGATTATTTAACTGAGCTTTACCTTTATAGGATCAGACTTAGAGATAGAAGGGACCTCAGAGATTATCATCTAGTCACAAATCTTGATTTTACAGATGAGAAAACTGAGGTCCAGGGAGAGAAAGTCATTTGCCAAAGGTCACGCGGGTGGTCAAGACTCAGAGGAAAGATCTGAATTTGGGTCCTCAGACTTCCAAGTCAAGGCACTGTACGTGTTGCTTCCCTTTCCTCTGAGCTAAAGAAAATACCCAGAAGGGAGGGCCAAAGGAGAAAAAGTGACGTGGAACCCCTTACCACATTTCCAGTAACGTGACAGATTTGTTTTAAAAAAGAAAAGAAAAGAAAGGAAGAGAAAAGAAGAGAAAAGAAAAGAAAAGAAACAGTGATTTTATTTCTCAGGATATCAGTAATGCCTATGACTGCAGAGGATGTAATGTTTGAATAACATTTTACAGCTGATTAAGCACTTTTTTCTCAATGCCAACCTTAAGAGCAGGTTCTTGCTTCACATATTTCTGGTGTCAAAGACTATTCCTTAAAGTACTGGCTTCCAGTTACTCATTTCCTTAGATTTGCTCTGACATAATAAAATTGAATACCTGAGCTAGGTAAGATCCAGGTACCTAACTACTGATTCAATACACATAAATAAATCCATATGAATTCCCATATTTCCTCTTAACACAGTGCACATTAAAACCTCAAAATAATAACAATTAAAATAGTCTGAATTTTTTTTCTGAGAAAAAAAAATCTTATTATATACAACTCTGTGTGAATTCTTCCATACTATAGGAGATCAAAAAGTTTTTCAAAACGAGTAATGACCATCCATAAGAATAAAAGAAGTACACAGTAGAAAAGACAGTCCAGTCATCAACTAACATGGGTATAGAAGTGTTTTGCTAATTGTTTCTAGGAGGTAAAACTTGATTACCTGATGGGGCGCCTCCCCGCTAGAAAGTAAAGTGTGGACACATCTAATTGCTGAGCCAAAGGGAAGACCTTACCTAGAACCTAAAGTGTCAGCTGAGATTAATGACCTTTGTTCCTCACCTAGAGAGTAGGACTAATCCTCCCTGGGTTCCTAATAGTCCTTAATGATTTTTAAATGGAAGCTGCTTGACTCAAAAACCCCATCATTCCCCTGCATAATTTCAGATGGTAAGAGAAAAGAACATTGAGAGAAAGAATAAGTTTAAGTTTCCTTAAATCTGAACAGTTGTTTTCAAATTCTGCTGAAAGCTCTACGAATCACCTGCCCACCTGCCAAAACCATACATTTCAGCCTAGGGCCTCAGTGGAACATCTTCCTTGCCAACATTGGTTCAAGGGAATTTCTCTGCCAAAATACTTGAAACAACATAAGGTAGGTAGGTGTTTTATCGACTAGCACAGCTGACCTATAAAGCAGGCCTGGAAATCTGTGACTTTGAATGTGCTTATTAATTAGTTTGCAGATCAATGCAATATTTCAAGAAGGCAGGCAACTATAAGACATTTTTTCTTTTTTCTCTTTTTTTCTTTAAGGATAGAAACTCTTCAACCAAATTAGTATCAAGTATTAGTATCAAGGAATTTTAAATATTTCACAGTAATGTGTAAACCCATGTGATTTAGCTGGGTATGGAGATAAACACTTTAACAAATCAATCATAGTGGGGGAAGTTACCCCAGTCAGAATGTAGAGGACAGTAAATCAGGTTTAGCCCAGTTCCAGTGTGACCACCCAAACAAGTGAAAAACACTGGGAGTGGCTGGTGGTATTTTATCTTCCAATGGTAAATGTTGGAATAAAAGGATACTAGAAAAAAAAAAGTGGGGTGGCTTTTTTTCTTTTTGAGGGGAATGGGGGGAGGGGATGCAGAGAAAGGAAGGAGAATACAAAGACAGACTGAGAAAGACGGGGAAAGAAAATCTTTTGGCCAAAGAACTGATACCTCAGAGAAGAATTTTACAAGAGGGGAATGTCAGATTTTCTGCTTTTGTTTTTAACTAAATCAGGAATTCTGCTTCAGTGCAAATGTGTCACTTGAAGTTTTCTTGATTGTTTTTTAAAGAAACAATTAAAATGCCTTGTGGAATTTAGCAGGAACAGTTTCCACAGCCTTTAACACTGTTGATAATTTCTTCTTGGAGTTTCTTCCTCTCCTCCTCTTTGGATATCTGCTGTTTCCTTGCTTCCCACCTGGTATTATTAATATTTGACGTACGGCTGCTTTGGGCATGCCACATTTCTGAATAGATGCTCCCAGGGCTGGCGAGGAGACTACTGTGGGTTCCCCGCTCAACTATTTTACCCTAAAACATAAACAAAACAAATTAAGTCAAATAACTAATAAAAAGTGAACTTACCATTTTTCCTGCTAAGAATTTTGCAAGACTTCAGGAAAATATCCCCTTTTCATTTTGTAGGCAGAAAAACTGAGAAGTGGGGTATTCCATGCCAGACCTTCTGGCTGCTAGTCCAGTAGAGGGCCAAGTCCGGGGCACCACTTTAATTGAGAAGAAACATGTCCTAAGTGTTATGTTCTGATGAGGAGGTGGGATGGGAAGGGATTTTTAAAAGTTGAAATTTGTACACTTGATCAATAGTTATCCAAATCAAGTCTCTTATCATTTATAAAATAGGTTTTCCTATACTTAAAACAGAAATACCCCAAACCTGCACATGAACTTAAAAATGAAAAGATTTCTGCACGATGATTTATTTCTTTCACTGTCTGACTGCCTTTGTTAACAATGGTTATTAACCTGAACACTATGTAGACCTGGTACAGATTCCAAATTTTCATCTATGGTTAATTTGCTTTGTCTTGACAGCCACTAGGCAACATGGTGGGAGACAAGATGGATGTTGTCTCTTTTCTTGCTGCTCCTGGTGCTAAGTGACAGGAACTTTACAAATATGCCTGTAAGGAACAGAAATGTGGGATCTGCCCTGGACCCTTCTGAGTGCAAGCTGGGCACTCCAAGAAAGCATGATTTGATGTTGCTTTTGAAATTCCTATCCACCCTGAAAACAATGGTCCATGATCTTTTCTCAGTCCAGGAACCACTTTACTGAGATACAAGACTTCATGGATCACTGATCCCCATTGAGACCTACCCAAGAAAATAAAAAACAAAAGACAAATACAAAAGCCATGGAAAAGTGATATTTTATCAAAGAGTAAGAACAAAGAGGGCTGTCCTAAAAAAATTTAATTTCTGTCAGAAACATAACTACAGTGGAATCATGTTTATAAAATCATAGATTTGGAACTGGAAAGGACCTCAGAAGCAGTCGAGGCCCAGAGAGGTTGACTTCCCCACTTAAGTAAGGATGTGAACCAAGGTCCTCTGACTCCAAATCCAATGCTTTTCCCCATACTATAAGAAACTGGCCCTCAAATCACCTGAAGGACCCCTGAGATCCAGGGTTCCTCCAAACATGCTATGAAGTATGTTCCTCCTAATCAACTGAACACATTATCATCTTTGATATTTCAATCTCTGACCTCATCAATCTAGATATCCTCCCTCCAATGATGCAGATTAGAATCTACTGAAGCATTCTCATTTTGTGTCAGACCTTGCCCTGTCCCCCCAAGAAAGCCCACCAAACATGTCACTGATCTTTTGCATTGTATAGATACCAACAGAGCATAAGGGCTATCCACTGATTATACCTCACCCTTGCCATGTGGCCAGCCCTCTTCCTTTTCTGGTCAAACACCTCTCCAATGATATCCTTTCTATCACCAGTCCTGTAGAATTTTATGACAGCCTACTCACTCTCATCATGTACCTCTCCACCTTCCTTTGACGAACCACAACTTTTAGTGTTTGGAGACTGTATTCAATGACTTTTGGCCACAGAGTATCAGGAGAATATCGATGTAAAAAATATGGACAGACCTCTGTATGAGGCGAAGTTTGAGGGTCATTAAAAGCACTGTATAATTTCTCAATCTAAGTTGATCTACTATTTTAAGTCAATTCTGGGCCCAGTTCATCACCCATCTACAGGATCTGCCCAAAAGGTTCAACTGCATATAATCATCTGGAGGTCTTCTTTACCTACTTGGTTTTTCCTATGTGGGGAGACAGGACAAACTCTTTTTGAGTGACTAAAGATCTCATTAGGAGATCCCACAATGTTTCAAGCTTGACACAATCAGCATAATGTTAGTAAATCAACAAGCATTTATGAGGCACTTATTATGTGTGCCAGGCATTGCACTAAGCGTTGGGAATACAAAGAAAGGCAAAAACTCAGTCCTGAATTCAAGGAACTCACATTCTAATGGAGGCGATAACTTGCAAACCACCATGTACATATAAGATACATAACTAGTAAATGGGAGGTAATCTCAGGAAGGCCCAAGCAATTGGGGAGGACTGGAGAAGGCCTCCTGCAAAAGGTGGATTTGTACTGTCTTAAAGTCAGAGAAGCCAGAAGGTGGATATGAGGAGGGAGAACATTCCAGGTACGGAGGAAGGCCAGACAAGAGGCCAAGTGGAGAGATGGACTGTCATGTGCAAGGAACAGCAAGAGGGCCAGTGTTGCTACATCCTGGAGTATGTGTAAGGGAACAAAGTATAGCAGTACTAGAGAAGCAAGAAGGGGTAAAGCTGTGAAGGGCTTTAAAATCCAAACAGGATTTCATATTTGATCCTGGAGGTATTAGGGAACTACTGGAGTTTATTAAGTTGGGGTGTGTGTGTGTGTGTGTGTGTGTGTGTGTGTGTGTGTGTGTGTGTGAGAGAGAGAGAGAGACAGACAGACAGACACAGACAAAGACATGGTTAGCCCTTTGCCTCAGGAAGATCCTTTTGGCAACTAAATGGGGAATGGGCTGAAGTGGGGAGAGATTTAAGGCAGGGAGACCCATCAGCATGAGGCGAACAGGGCGGGCTGTGTGAGCGGAAGGAAGAAGACGTATAAGAGAGATGTTGTGAAGACAGAAAAGACAGACTTGTGGCCTATTACCGGAAGCACTGGCTAGGTGCAATTTTGGAGTCTTCTCACTAAGTAACTCTTTGGTTTATACCTCCTGGGAATATCTGAACTTGGTTCATTTTGCCCCACCCTAAGTTTTTAATAGTTTCTCCCTCAAATTATCATATATTTGCTTATGCAAATATATAAAAATTACATAAAGAGGCTGCTAGCTGGCACAGTGGATGGAGTTCTAGGCCTGGAGTCGAGAAAACTGGAGTTCAAATCTAGCCTCGGATACAAGCTGTATGACTGAGCATGTCTTTAACCTGTGTGTGCCTCAGTTTCTTCAACTGTAAAATGAGGATAATAACAGCACCTACTTCCCAGGGTTGTTGTGAGAATCAAAAGTGCTTAGGACAGTCCCTGGCACATAATGCTTGTTTCCCTCCCCTCCCCTCCTTCTGTACATGTTGTATCCAACTGTGGAGGGATCCTGGTAAAAGGTAAGCCCCCTGAGGCAAAGAATGTTTCATTTGTGTTTTTCTATTACTAATACCTAGCATAGTATTTTGCACATGGTAGATACCGAATAAACGTTTAATGACTTTAATATTAGCATTGGAGAGGGATCTTAGAAAGCACTATAGTCCATGTGTTGTTAACCTACGGATTGTGAACTTTAAAAAAAAATTTTGGATAACAGTAATTCAATATAATTAGTTTCCTCCAATCTTCTGAGTAGTTCATAGGCTTCACCAGATTCTTGCCAAAGGAGTTTGTGCCACAAAAAGGGTAAGAACTCCTGCTCTTGTCCAACATTCTCATTTAAAAATACCACCACCACCACTGCCAAAACAAACACTAACGGCTAGGGTTTTACTGGTTCCCCTCCCCAAATGACCGTTATTTGGTCGCAGGACAAAGCCCTAGGCAACCTATCTGTGACCACTAGGCAACGGCTGAAGGGAGAAAGCCCGAGGCTGGGATTCGAGGGACTCATAATCCCACCTGGAATCACACCTCCTTGTACCCGGGGTCAAGTCCCTTCCCCTCTGTGGCCTCCTCTGCACAGGCTCCAGACAATGAAGGGGTTTGGAGCAGACGGAATCTAATTCCCCTTCCAGTTCTCAGTATCTGTTGGCAGTCTGGTACCAAATTCCAAAGAGTATTTAATCAATCCAGTTACTGAAAGTCACATTCAAACCAGGCTCCCTCCCTGGGCTTCAGTATTCTCATTTGTAAAATGAAGGGGTTGGCCTGGATGGTCAGTAGTAAGTTTGGCTACAATTTGGTTCCAACCCACCTGTCCAAACTTACTTTACATAGGCGGGTTCCTGTCATATGCTCTCTATATATTCTATCCAAAATGGCTTACTTACTGCTCCCCTAACTACATTCCATCTCAAGCTGTTATCAACACTCTGGGCCTCAGCTTTGTCAGCTATAAGATGAAGGAATTACAGTGGACGACTTGAAAATCCATTTCAACTCTAAAGTTATATATTTATTGTTGTTGGGTCATTTCAGTGTCCGACTCTTCGTGACCCCATTTGGGGTTTTCTTGGCAAAGATACTGGAGTGGTTTGCCATTTCCTTCTCCAGCTCATTTTACAGATGAGGAAACTGAGGCAAACAGGGTGAAGTGACTTACCCAGGGTCACACAGCTAGTAAGTGTCTGAGGTCAGATTTGAACTCAGGAACATAAGTCTTCCTGATTATAAGCCCAGTGCTCTATCCACTGAGCCACCTAGCTGCCCTTACTGATATATATGATTTTATTCGATTCAAACAAACATTTAGTTGTGGGTTTTTTTTTTTCCAATTAATAAAAATCTATTTTCTCTCTCCCTCAATACCCCAGTGGTTGGAATGCACTCCCTCCTTATCTCCAACTGTCGCAATCTTTAACTTTCTTCAAAGATGAATTCAAGGGCTACCTCCTACACAAGGCCTTGAATACAGAGGTTGTTACATTTTTGTCTTCATACCTATCCTCAGTGCCTGGCACACAGTAGGCACACAAAAGTTTGTTCAACTTGTACCACAGCAACAGCACTATAAAGACAAACAACTTTCAAAGACTTAAGAACTCTGTTCAATATAATAACCAATCACAATTCCAGATGACCAGCAATGAAGCATGTCACCCACATCCTGACATAGAAGTGATAGACTTAGGATGCAGGTGGAAACATACTTTTTGGACGTAGCCAATGCGGGAACTTGTTTTACTTGACTTCACATATTTGTTTCAAGAGTTTTGTTATTCTTTTCAGACCTCTCCCCCATTTGGGGGTGGAGTGAGTATGTCATGATGAGAGAGAGAGAGAGAGAGAGAGAGAGAGAGAGAGAACAAGTTTTTATTAATTAAAAAAACTAAATGTTTGTTGAAATGAATAAAATCATATATAACTGTAATTTTAGATTTGAAAGGGATCTGGAAGTCACCCACTGGCTTGTGGTGAAGTGCCAGACTCGAAATAACATGGTTAGTGAGAGGCAAAGTCGCTTGGGATCCATGAGTCCCAAGCCCCAGTCCTGTGCTCTTTCCATTACAGTGCTCATTCCACCCCCGGCCATGAGTTCAACAGCTACAGTTGTTCCTGCGAGGAATGAACAAGACGGAGGCCTAGCTATAAGTAAGAGCAGTAAAATAGAGGCTCTACTGCACTGGAAACAGGGAAATTAACCCTGGGGCAAGAGTCATTTTCCATCTCTTTTCCTCACCCAATCTTTACTCTCCTGGCTGCCATTTTGGGATCCTTCAAATTGAAAGGACACTTAGGCACTTCCTTCCAAAGTAAATGTCACTATGATTCCATGCAGTAAAAGACATGGCATGATAGCAGCAATGTGATTGCCTCTAACAATCTAAGAACACAGGAGAAAAAAGTTAGAAATTTTCTGAAAACAAGACTCCAGGACAATGCTTCATCATAGTAGTGTGGAGATGACCCTGGATTCTCAAAGGCTACATTCAACCAAACACAAGCTCTGACTGACCTTATGCAAGCTGAAAATTAATTCAGTTAAATTCAATCAAAATTTATTAAGTGCCTACTAAGTGCTAGGTACTAAGGATGCAAAGAGAAAAACAAAATAATACTTGTCCTCAAGGAGGTTAGTGAGTTTAATGTACACAGATAAGCAAATACAGCATAAAACAAAGGAGTTTGAAGAGCAAAAGAATCAACTGGGGGATCAAGAAAGGTATCATGTAGACCGTGAAATCTGAACTATTCTTTGTTTGAAGGAAGTTAGGAATTCTAAGAGACAGAGTGGGGAAGGAATATATTTGAGATATATGAAGAATATATATGGAGAATATATGGAGAACCAATGACCTGTGCAAAGGCATGGAGGTGAGATGGAATGTTGTATACAGAGGCTACTTAGACTACGTAAAGGGGATTAATCTAACACTTAGAAAGGCAAATAGGAAGGAGATATGGAGGGCTACAAATGCTAAGCTGAAGATCTGATATCTTATCCTAGAGGTAACAGTGAGCAGTGGAAGATCTTTTTTAGTAGCGGAGTGACACGGTCAGATATGTTTTTAGCAACATCAATGTGGCAGCTACATGAAGAATGTATTGGAGGGGGGAGAAACTGGAAGCAGGCAGACCAATTAGGAGGCTATTTCTGTAATCCTGGTGAGAGACTGTGTAAGTAGAGAGAAGGGATAGATAGTGGACATGTTGTGGCTGTAGAATCGACAAGACTTGTCAACTGCTAGGCTATGGAGGATGAGGAAGAGGGAAAAGTCAAGAATGACTCTCAGGTTCTAAACCTGGGAGTGCCCACCAAAAAATAGGGAAGTTTGGAGGAGGGATGGGTTAGAGGAGAAATGTAATGGGTCATTTTTTGGATGTGATGAGTCTGAGATGCATTTGAGAGAAAGACTAAGTGTGAAAAGTGTGAACCTGCTATTTGGAAGGTTTGCTTTCTGGTTAGGAGAAGCTTAGTATCACAAGGCTGCCTGCCAGGTGAGGAATTTTTCCAGCCATATCAACTCAAGAAGGTCAGCAGATTATTTTAGTATTAAACCTACTTACCTGTTCTGCTGCTACTAACAAACTAGTTCTGATTTGTTAAAAAGTAAAGTATTATATAAAGCCTCCAAGTGGCAAACTAGAGAGGTAAGCATAAGCCTGCTAATCCATGCTAACATGATATGTGCAAGAAAGGCTATAACCACATGAATGTACACCACAAGAGTATTTAATAAAGGCAACATATAGCAGACAATATCAGCGTTACTTAAGTGGCAATAATATCAAAGGGATACTTTTCAAGTTTCTAATTTAAAACATTCTGTACAGAGCACCTAATAGACCACGCAACCACAAATTGGGGACAGGCAAAGTAGTCCATTTTATAATGAATGGTAATGGTGTTATGATCAAACCAATATAATGATCTAAGGTCTCAGGTGCCCAGATAACGGAAATTGATTGTATATACATATCATGCAACTGAATGCTTCATAGGACATTTTATTGGTGTGAATAAACCACAGTGGCCCATGGACCCCACCAAGTAATTTGATATATCAAAGGTGAGCAAGAATGCTTTCTCTATCTGTACTGAGGGCTTTGAAAATCATAGGGAATTGATGGGTTTATTCGTTTGATATAAGGGGAAAATAACCATAGAGAAAGCTGAAATGGAAGGTAGAAAGTGAGTAATGGTAGAAATAGTCCAATAGTAAGATATTTTTTTTCCTCCCTCCATTTACTTGTTCCTTGGGAAGGAGACAAGAGAAATGATAATAATTTCCAAAGGTCACCAATCACAACAGTCTTATGCTGATTTTCAGCACAATTAGATGGCACTATCTTAGAGCAACTCTTTCAAAAGAAATGAAACATGCTGTCACTTTTCCTTGCTTTCCCTTGCAATGGCTGGGTTTGAAAATGACCATGCTACATGAGGGATAATTTTCTTTTGGGACATCAAGGGTCTAAAGAAAATATATAACATGGCAAAAATGCCAAATTCTCAGCAGCAGTTTTCACTTTCAGCTGAAGAGGAAATGGAGAAATTAATCATTACACACACTCCCAGTAGAAAGTGCTTCTATCATCCCTGCATTTAATGCTGTCCTGTTTTAAGTTTTGCCTTCAATACCTTGATACACAATGAATTATCACATTCTTTCTGGGTGCAGTTACAAAAAATCAGGGAATCTCAGTGTTAAAAGGGATTACAGAGGTCATCTGGTCCCAAGGCCACATCTAAAAAGGAAATGCCTCTACTACTTGATTTACTGCCAAAAGAAGACCTCCCAAAATAGAATTTTGTTATGGTTCAATCCAAAGGAAGGAATTGAGAGACAGCCTGGCACAGTGAAGAGAGCCTTGAAAGTAGCATCAGAGGAGCTGGGCTCCAATCCCAACTCTGCCATGCTACTTAGTACTTACGTGACACTGCCCAACTCCCTTAGCTTCTCTGGGCCTCAGCTTCCTCATCTTAAAATTAAATGAAGAGAATGGGTTGAATGATCTCGAAGATCCCTTCTAGCTTTAAATCTCTCATCTTATTAATTTCACATATTCTACTAGAACTATTTTTAGCTTATGCCTCACCATTAAAACAAATTCCAATGTTCTCTGATGACTAAACTTTGCAAAGTAATAATCTCTCACCTGATCCAGGACAATGATTTCATCTGCATCAATCACTGTTGATAATCTGTGTGCAATGAAAATAGATGTTCTGTGTTTCACCATGTCCCTCATGGCACTAAGAATATTCTGTAAATTTGGAGATGGAGAAAGGAGATAAGATTTAAAGATTAGGTAAACAGTGCATGTGCGTGCACGCACACACACACCCCTTCTCACATATTTCCTAAAGGAAAGTCAGTCCAAGCATTTAACATTGCAATTAATATTTAACAACTTAGGACAATGACAAATGTCTCAACTAATCTGTGGATAGGAGTAATCACAAGAAGGAAGAAAGGAAGGCCAGACATAAAGATGACAAAGAATAACTCAAAGATTCAAGGCAGGTCACATTTCTCTTAAAAAAAAAGTGTATATCAAAGATGCTAGAGAGAAAAGAGGCTTGCTATCTTTTAGAAAAATCTTGGTCAACTGGCAACACATGGAGCATTGATGATAAACATTCTGTCTGTCTATATCCTTCTCATATAGTCAATGAGAATAAGAGTAAAATGTGATGTGGGACCCAAAGGACAGTGCACAAAAAAGCCCACACCAACCGAAAAGGAAGGAGTAGGGGGACATGGATGGAAGGGAGCAGGGTGGCTGGGGCTGCAAAGGGAGATAAAGGGAGATTTCCTTGTCCTTGAACTAAGCGCCAGTAGGAGTGGAGACTAAGACATTGTGGTGGTGGCTTCTTGTTTTTGTTTTTTTTAAACACAAGTTAACTTTCTAAAACCATTCTGATTACTCGATCTTTCTAGAAAATGCATTGATAGCTTCTGCTTTTAAAGCACAGCTGTGTTGTAGAAAAAGTCACCTGTGTTTGGCAAGCTTGCTCTAAATGTGGCAAAGTAAAGACAAACAGGAAAAATACCTTCCAGATATATAGCCCCCAAGAACCCAAGTGTATTACAAAGTTATAAATTCTGGCCTACTATATGTGGCTACTCAGAGAAAGGAGTCTGCGTTGTTCTAACAGTAGAGGCAACCCCAAGACAGCTACAACTATGGACCAATGACAAAATGACAGTGAGAGATAATGGGGGAGGAATGGGAAGGAGTGAAAGCAATTTGCTTTTAGTGGCATCTCTTGTGTTTTACTTCACTACCCTGGCGTCCTTATCCCCCTGGAATGTTCAGGGTTCTTCACGGAGCAATATTTTTGGGGCAATATTCCAAGGGGCTCCAGTCTGTTCACTTAATAATAATACCTCTCACCTACCTAGCATTTTAAAGTCTGCAAATATGCAGTGAAGCAAGTGGTGTGAGTACTATCCGAATTTTAGAGAAGAGGAAACTGAGGATCTGTGCAGTCAAGTTGCTCCTGTTTATGCTAAGATTCATACTGAGGTCTCCAGTCTCCAGCACACTATCCACTATGTCACTTGAGGAATTTAAGGCTTTAACACTCCTCCCTCCTCAAATCCTATTATCTACATTTTAATAGGGGCTTTCAAACCCCCAGGAATGACTTATGGTGAGAATTGCAGGGTAACTGAGAGGAGATACATTCATCAAGGTGGAGAACTCTGGACATTTTTCATATTATACTTTGTAGGCAATTAACTAACAGGGCACCCAGGTGGTGCAGTGGATAGAGTGCAGGGCTCCATGTCAGGAAGACCTGAGTTGAAATCAGCCTCAGGTACTTACTAGCCGTGTGACCCTAGACAAGTAAGCCACCTCATCCTGTTTGCCTCAATTTCCTCATCTGGAAAATGAGCTGGAGAAGGAAATGGCAAACTACTCCAGTATCTTTGCCAAGATAATATCAAACGGGGTCATGGAGAGTCAGACACAACTGAAAACGACTGAACAACAGGCAGCTGACGTGGGGATGGCCCTGATCAGGGGTCACTTTAAAGGTACAGTATAACCCTGAGTTTAATAACACATCCTATAATTAAACCAATTCAGATAAACTGTGGACCATATTTTGTCCACTGAAAATTTACCTCCCTACCCAAAAGCCTGTTCCAACATGGTCAGCCAATAAGATTGGTAGCTTGCTCTATCCCTTAACACCAGATGTTCCCATGTATATTAAATAAGAAGCCAGACAAGTGGGGACAATTTGCAAAACAACATTCACCTATTTTCAGTTCTTGATAAGGAGATTAGTTCATGAAATTACTGTTGCTGCTGAGACTTTTGTATTTAATGCAAGGATGTGGTTATGAAGGCTGATGCAGTTGCCGAGGTAGTGTCATGACATTGGTGTCACAACATCCTGATGTTTCACAGCCCTCCCTGTGAAATGAATATAAATTGATAGCAGCACTGCAGGTTACCGTGTACCTGACTTGCATCTTAGTGAGTTGCTCTATGATGAGCAAGAGGCTTTCTGGTGTGCAGTATGTCACAAGCATTTACATGACTTATTTTAATGAGTGTTAAGTGGCAACCAGACACCTCCACATGAGATGGACAAGAGGCTTCTGCCTCAGTAAGCATCGGAGGCAATTCCAACAGCTTTGGGTGAGGTAGGGTTAGGGCTGCGGCATAGGCTGTCACACGGTTCTAACTGGAGACAAGTTTGCAAATGGACTTGACATTCCTATGTCTGGCTCAATACAACTTGGCAATCTTGAGGCCAACCCAAGGAAAAGGTTTGCCTTACTCTGCTCAATGGCACCTCCTACTGATCACTTATACTGGAATGAGATCAAAACCCTAAAGGAATACAGATACTTTACAGTGAGTAACTCCTAAGGGAAAAAAAAAAAGCACTAGCACAAGGCAAGTCTTTACAATGTCACCCTAATTTACCTCTTCAGTAATTGAGTCTAATGATGACGTAGCCTCATCATAGAGAATGACAGGGGGGTTCTTCAAAATGGCTCTGGCGATCGCTACTCGCTGCTTTTCTCCTCCTGGCAAAAACAAAAACAAAAACAAAAAAACCTCTTATGGTAGGTAAGGGATGGATACATATATCACAGCCCCAGAATTTCCATCCATCACCAGGGGACAACCTCAACATTCCCCAGCACTCTTGAATTTAACAACACTGCTCATTTTTAGTTACAGAATCCAAGTTGTAAATGTGAGGCACTTAAGGAGCATCTCAATTCACAGGAATGTAAATTTTAAGAGAGGATTTTCTGTTCCAACAAATAAGTAAGGAAAGTAAGGAGGGGCGATTACAACTTTGATTTTAGATTACAATGACAGAATAGCAAACAGATGAACAGCTTAAGTGTTGTACTAGCAGCCACAAAATAACCAGTGGCAATATTCTCAGAAATATGGCCATTATATGGTACTTTAGGTTACATGAGAAATCCTTGAATATATTATAACAACATGCTACAGATAAAGAATTTCAATCTTAGAGAACTGATAAAACAGGGAACAGATTAAGTAGGATACCCAGAATTTTGAAATAAATGAAATTTGGAGTTTGGCATTTTCTGTTTTAAGGCATAAATGTCTGACTAGATCAGACCAATGAGCTACAGGTTCATTTCTGTTTCTGGGAGTCACAGAAAACAGTCTTTATAGTAGGAAGACATATACCACAATATCCTCAAAGAGTAGAGATACTTACTGAACATTCCTAACTTCCCTTTAGAAATTTACAACGGATGTAGAATCATGTTTTTGGAAAGTTGGAAGAGAGATCCAACCTTCTCATTTTACAGATGATCCAGAACTGCTCAGTTACAAAACTAGTTATGGCAAGGACTGGACTCCAACACCCATCTTCTGGTATTGGTCTAGTGGTATCTCCACTATGTCACACTGCCTGTGGACAGCATACGAAGTGTAAGTTACTAATTTCTTCTTTTAAGAGTGAAGGGCCTCAGGGTCAACATTCTGAATATGGTAAAGTATTGCAGATGTAAGTATAGATGGTAAAAGGGAGTGGTTTGAAAGTGTAGTAAAGCTAGCAAGTACTCCAAAGAGAAATTTCTAGAGAAAGTCCCTAACAATTTACTTTACAGTTTACCATCTATTCATTTTGTTACAACCACAATACCTAACCACAGCCTGGGACTACCTTGAGGATAACCAACCAGACTAGCTAAATGAGAGCAGTCTCTACTGACACCATCTACCTTAGTCAAAACATTCTCCAACACACCAAAGCACATTCTATACAATGGTTGAGCTTTCCTACCTCCTGCTAGATTCCTTCCTGAATGTCTCATATGCCAACTCTTCTCCAGAATTCTTTTTGGTGGCCATGTGTAGACTACTGTACATATCCTTCCGATTTCCTCTCCCCTTAGAACCCAGCTTTCTCTTATCTCTACGCAGGAGTTAGCTAAGCTTCTTATTCCATTGTTACTACTTTCCAAGGCTATTTTTCTTCTCAACTCCATTGTGCCCTTCTCTTCATTAGGCTAGTTTGCCTAAATTACCAAGAATTCATCTCCTCCTTAATAGGAACACTCAAGCAAAGGCTAGGGATGTTGTACAGAGGACTCCTGCATTGCTAAGAAAGCCTGACTAGATAACCTAGAATCATAGGATGTCAAAGCTTGAAAAAACCTTAAAGACCATTTACTACAAACCCTGACTTTTACACAGGTGAAAACTGAGGCTCAGAGAGGAAACTGATCTTTAAGGGCCTTTTCAACTATTAAGATTCTACAACCCTATGGAAGATAAGAGTATGGAGTCCTCTTTCTCCTGAAAACAGAGGGGAGAATTTGTCTGAGCTGCATTAAGGCCCACTGGACGTCCAGTGATATGGGAAAGGACATGACTTTACACTTTTCCTCCAGAAATGTGATATTAAAAAAACTTCAAAATAATTCCAAGCTAGCATTATAATAAAGAAAGCAATATAACAAACTTGAAAATACTACATACAAATATCTTTGACTCTCCCTTCACTTATGTCCTACTCCGTGCCTCATTGTGGCGTGGAACTAACTTTGGGTTTCTGCAAACAAGGCCAGTGCAGCTCAGGTACTGAGGCTGAACTGTATGACTGTTATGTCTTATGTGAGGGCCTGCCTAGCTAAATTCAGAAAGGCTCATTACCAGCAGGCTACTAGATGATGAATTTTTTCTGCTTCAACAACTCATAAAGACTAAGACAGGGGAAGGCTGTGATCACACCAATGATCCTTGAAGTACTCAAGTTGAGTAGATGACTCTACTTATAAAGTTGGTAGCACCTCCCCCAATTCCTCTAGCACCTCCTGGGGAGTGAGGAGGTGAGAAAGACTATGTCTGTGGACTGCTGCATATATAATGTCAGACTTAAGTATTGGTTAGTTTTGCTGACCTCTTTTTTTCCCTCTCACTACTAAGTTCTTATTATAAGGATGATTCTCTGGGAAGGGGGAGGGATATAGGGAGAACCATAGATGATCATCTAAAAATAAAGAGATTATCAATAAAAATTTATTTCAAAATGAGACCAAAAAAGGCATTTGCCAAATGCCAAACCAAGTCTTAATTCATTAAACCAAGAAGGAAGTGAAAATAATGTTTATTTTAGGCAAAGTGCAGCCCAGTCAACAGGTTCAGAAATACAAAGGTCTATATAATACAGACAAGAAACAGCAAAACAATCTCCATCTCTCTCTCTATCATATGTGTGTGTGTACACACACACACACACACACACACACACACACACACACATACACACACACACACGCACATGTGCTGTATATATACATATATATTCTCCAACTTAGGAAGAGACAGTGTTTGAAAATTTCATTTTTAAGCTGCCTATTTGGATCTTGGTTCACACTGTCTTCATGGAAATAGTGTTATAAACATTCCACAAAAGCTTAATCCACACTGCAGTGGCCAATCAGTCAACAAGCATTTATTAAGTAAGCCCTTACTCTGTGCCATACACCGTGCTAAGCACAAGGAATTCAAACCAAACCAAACTCCAATATATACCCTTCAAAGAGTTCACATTCTAATGAGGGAGACATGGACATAACTAGGTGCACACAAGGTATGTACAGGGTAGATGACAAGAAGTGTTAGAGGAAATGGCACTAATAGGGGTGGGGGTAGAGAAAAGGGACTGGGAAAGACCTTGTGTAGAAGGTCCAACTTAGGCCAAGTGATGAAGAAAGCCCGGAAAACCAGAGGCAGGGGTAAGGGTATGGAGCATTACAAACACTGGGGTCAGTGCAAAGGGACAGAGAAATAAGATCTAATGGCCTAGGAACGGCCAGAAGATGGTAAGGGTGAGTGGAGGTGAGTGAAGTGTCAGAAGACTGGAAAGGTAGGAAAGGGACAAGACATAAAGAGATTTTTAAGATCAAATAACGTTATATTTGATTCTAGAGGTAACAGAAAGGATGGATTAGATGGAAAGAGACTTGGGGCAGGGAGACTGATTACAAGGCTATTGCAATAGTCCAAGGCACAAGGTGTTGAGGGCCTGAACTCGGGTAGTGGCAATAATGAACTGAAGGGGTAGAGTCAAGAATGATAGTGAGGGTGCAATCCTCGGGTGACTGGGAGGATGGTGGTGCCTTCAACAGTAAAATGGAAGATGTTTGCAAGAGGGGAGGCTTGTGGGGAAAGGATAATGAGTTCTGTTGTAGACATGCTGAATTAAAGATGTTCAAAAAGTAGTTGGTGATGCAGGATTGCAGCTTAGGAGAGACAACACTAGGATTTGCTAGATAGCTCTGAGAATCATCTGCATAAAGATAATGGAATCCAAGGGAACTGATGAGATCAACAAGTGAGACAGCATAGAGGGAGAAGAGATGACGGCCCAGGACAGATCCTTGGAGGCAACCACAGTCAGTGGGCACGATATGGATGAAAAACAAGCAAAAAAACACTGAGAAGGAACAGCAGTGGATTTGGAGCCAGGGGAGCAGAGTTTTGCCACTGTGTAACAGAGTTTTGCCACTGTGTAACTTTAGGCAAATCATGTCCCTCTGTAAAAAGAAGGGCTTTTCTAGTAGGACTTCAAAGGCTTTTGACAACTCTAGATACCCTGATCCTATGTAACACAACACTAGCTTGAGCTCTGGGACCTAGGAGCAAGGCACCATGTGGCAAAGGAAGGCAAAGTTTTTCCCCCTGTTCCTGAGGGCATAACTATCCCCAAGGCAAAATCTAGAAATCAATGGATTTTATCTCTGGAACCTATCTCTCCCAGTGGCTCTTGCTGGCTTAAGCGTCCAACTACAATAACCTTGCTCAAGCCTGCCCTTCCCAAAAGGCCGTAATACCCCACATTTCTCTACCTCCCCCTTCCCCTTCTGTACACTCAGCTCCTCCTGCCTAATCAAAGACCACACTCCCTGAGTACATTGCCCATAGGTGTCAGAAAGAAAACAATCAACCTCCAGAAGACTGTTTCTTCATTTGTAAAATAGGGATAACAACAATAAAAACTGAAGTATTTAACGCTAACATCGGTATGTGATGTTCCATAGGTAGTTACATTTTAAGAGGCTGCTTATTAAACAAAATGGATCTCCAGCATAATTTCCAGCTGTGTAACAAAGTGAATTAAATGTGAGAAATGTGGGAGCCAATGGGACCATCCCACAGGCCTGCAAGGCCAGCTGGGGAGTCTGTCCCTAGGCTTGGCACCTCAAAGGTGCTGCTGCTGATCTCTGCAGCTCCCTTACACTGCTCCTTCACTTCTGAGCCCAGAGAGTTTCTCCAGGTGTTTCACGATGGCTCCTATGGTAATGGCAGTTCCAATGGGTTACTTATAAGTTCAAAGGCTGCCCATAGCATGATGACAGGTACAATGTTTTCCATCAGATCATCATTCTCTTCCCTGCTACTCTCCTAGGCAAATAACAAGCTCAGCTTTCCCTTACTGATTATGTAGCTTATAGGTCAATTAAGAGGTAATGACAGGATCATATCATTAACTGACTCATGGTGCAGGGGGTGGGGTAGGGGGGTAGAGAGGAAGGTCAAGACAGTCTATAATTTCTGAAGAACATATATATTTAACTTTTTTAAAATGTCGAGTTAATTAGTGTTGTTTTCGTGTTTTGGGGATGACCTAAATTCTTGTTTTGAACCCAGTCACATTAACCACCAAAGAGCCAAGAATAGATGATTTTGTTTTGTATGGTAGGGAGGCAGGGGGGCGATGACCACGATGACGACGCTGACAAAAAGAGAGTCTAAAAAGCAGAAAGTTACCAGAAAGCTTGAGCCCTCGTTCCCCAACTTGTGTGTTATATCCATGAGGCATCCGAAGAATAGCATCGTGGATTCCAGCCAATTGTGCCACTGCATAAACCTCCTCAGCCGAAGCATTCATGTTTCCATACAAGAGATTGTAATAGATGGTGTTATGGAAGAGAACAGCATCCTAGGGATAATATGGAAAAAATGTTAAGAAATCCATGACACTTAAGGAAAGGGACGCAAAATACTCAGAATAACCGAGAAACTGCTGAACTGTTCTTTTGGGATATGTTTGTGCTACCTGGGGGTGGAAAATTCTATCTGGCAGGTCTTATTCAGATTATAAAAATGTCAAGCATTTGTCTTGTGATGGACTATATAAAGTCTTTGTTAGATGCTTCACTATAGACTACTGAGATAACTAAAGTTGTTTGACTTTAAAAGGGCAAGTATCTGTCTGGACATCTTCTAAATATTTTTTCATCTCCAAAAGGTTGGAAGGCTATCACAAAACTAGGAGAATCACAATCTTCCTATTCTTTTATATAAACAACAATAACTTGAGAAGCATTATATAGTCTTCCTAAGCATGATCATCACCCTAAGGTATGGTTTTAGGTATTTAAAATAGTAATGCTGCCATTAATACTCACACCTCTTACACTGCCATAATTAATGCTAACACTGGAAGGGAATGAATATCTGACCCCGAGACCCAAAAGCCTACAGCTTGAGGCCTAACTAAGCCCAGTTGTGTCATTTCATCTCTCTAAACTTCATTTTCTCATTTACAAAAAGAGAATAATGCTCCTTACTTTCCCCATACCTCATAAGGTTGTTGTGAGGAAAGTACCATGTGTTAAATAAAATAGGAGCTATTATCTTCAAAGAATTCAAGTTTTAGACACATTAAATATGTTTTTTGTTTTTTTTCTTTTTGGCTAGGCAATGGGGTTAAGTGACTTGTCCAGGGTCACACAGCTAGTAAGTGTCAAGTGTTTGGTCTGAGGCCGGATTTGAACTCAGGTCCTCCTGACTTGAGAACCGGTGCTGTATCCACTGCGCCACCTAGCTGCCCCCTAAATATATTTTTTTCAAGATCACTGAAGTAAAATCCGTGTAGAGTCCTAAACAACAATAAGATCTGAGGCATATGGATAATGCCAATGGGACCCACATGTGTTAAGTGATTTATCCAAGATAAGACTCTTCTGATTCTAAGGGTTTATCATCTATAATGTAACAACCATCGCCATGCTGCTTTCCACCAAAAGCCCATTTCAATAGCTTATCATGACATGGTGGCAGTCCTAAGTTCTCTAAAGGTTTTGCCAGCAAATACATGTTCTGGCAGGTTCTATCAAGTTGGAAAGGTTTCAAACACGGGCATGATGACAGACTATGTGTTTGTCATCTGAAGACCTAGTTACACACAGAGACATTCTTCACCAGAAGGCTGGCCAATCAGATGATAAGACCTTTTTTTTGGCCGCAGCAACTAAGAAAGATTGCCTCCTAAAGCACTGAAGCATTGTGATTTGTGTCAGTGGATGGAGCCCGCACACTGATAAAATTACAAATCTTTTGACCTATCATCTTCAAAAACCATAAATTAATATCCTAGCTCCTTTTTGCTTCTAAGATTTGAAATTTTTCAAAGGTTTTTGTTGCTATCTTTTATTTTTAAATCACCTTCATTTTCTGATATATTATAGCCATCCTTTATAATGAAGAAGTTTTAAAAGTGGGAGGAAGCAATTCAACAAGACTAACCAATATATCCAAGATTTAAAATTATATTGATCTTCCACTTCTGACTCCTAGCTTGGTGAGCTTGACAGAAAGAGTTGCCCAATTCCTATGAGGTTGCCTCTTTCTTGTTTTTTTTTTTTTCTGTTTGTTTATTTTTTTCAGGATCTTAGACTTTTATCTTCTCTATGAATTTTCTTGATAAAGAAAAATGAGAAGAACTCTTCCCAATGCTTTCACAAACAAGTATATCTCCCTATCTTACCAATGAATTTCAACTTGTGTTCACAGGGGGAGAGAGAAAGTCACAGGATCACAGATTTAGAGTTGGAAAAGATCATCTGGTCCAAGCCTCTCATTTTATAGATGAAGAAACTGAGGCTCAGAGAGGTGGAGAGTCTTGCTCAAGGTCACACAGCCTGTATATGTCAGAGGTAGGATGGGAACCTAAATCTTCCTTATTCTAAGTCCAGTAGTACACCATGCACTACAATATACTGCTTCTCTCTACTCTTCACAGAAAAGAAGTAGAACATGGACGATTGCTTTTCTAACTTAATTGTCTACAAAAGTAATATTTTCTTACATAGAAAACCACAAAGTGGTAGCCGCCAAATTATCTGGCTGTCCTAGATTTTCACTATGTCTATAACTGTTCCAAATGAGTTATGACATTTGGTTGGGACTTGGGAATCTTTTTTTTTTTTTGTATTTAGCATTTGATTTTTCCCCCATTACATGTAAAAACAATTTTTAACATTCGTTTTAAAAATTTTGAGTTTGGAAATCTTTTCAAACCAAATCTTTTGGTTTTCTATTTTTTTGTCCATGAAATTTGACCTATAGTGCAGAACAGTGTCAAGTACCTTAGGACACCCAGTTTTCACCACATTGACTGTTGCTGAACATTTGCTCACACAACAGCATCTTATTTTTTTCTCTTTATGATGAATATAAGGAAAGATCACACATTTAAAAGGAAAAATGTACCTGAGGCACCACTCCTACAGATTTCCTTAGGCTCTCCAGGCTGACATCTTGTATATTCTGGCCAGCAATATAAATGTTACCATTCTGGGGCTCAAAAAAGCGAAATAGTAATCTCACTATCGTGCTTTTCCTGAAATTGGGAAAGAAACAGAAAAGGGGAGATAGTTTTAGTCCAATTGGCATTGGGTAGACATTTTCCAATTGACTGTAATGATGTTATAGTGGAGAAAACAAGTCACGTTGGGAAATCAATGATGCAGAATTTTCTAAAGTTACCCACCCTGACCCACTACCTCCTACAATGGCCACTTTCTTTCCTGCAGGGACTTCAAATGATACTCCATTCAGGACTTTCTGACCCGCAATGTATTCAAAATGTACATTATCAAAAGCCACCGAAGCTGTCTGTGGTGTAATCTGAAGGGGAAGTGCCATCTCTTTGTCCTAGCAGGAAAGAGAAAAAAAACAACAACAACAACACACCACTTTACCCACTGCTTAGCATCCAACTACGAAGAAAATTCTCTATTTTACACAGCTAAAAAAAGAAAATAATGGGGAAAGAAAAGAGGAAGAGGTGAAGAGGCTTTTAAAAGAGTCCCTCCTTCCCATGTTCTTCCCCATTAAAGGGCAGAAAAATTCCTCATTGAACACTGTTTCTAAGCAGCTTTTTTCCATCGCAAATTCTGCATCATTCATTATAAACAAAAGAAAACCAAGTGCATAATACAAATACTTAAGTCAAGTCTAAACGAAATGAACCCCAAGCAAGGCCCTTTGCATAAAGCTCCTTCCCAATATGAAAGAAAAGGCTATTATATAGCCACTTAACTCATCTGGCAAAAAAGAAATTAGTCAGCTGAGCCACTGAAAAAACATGGTCTCCCTAGTATAATTCTATTCATGGGATGAAACTTAAACACTTAAAAAGAATAAAGTACTTACTTTAATTTGTGTGTCTACCTTGAGTAGTGTAAACAGAGTGTTCATATCGATGAGTGCTTGTCTAGTCTCTCGGTATACAGTTCCCAGAAAGTTCAGAGGCAGTGAAAGCTGAAAAAGCAGCCCATTCACCATTACAAGATCTCCAACAGTAAGGGACCCTCAAAATAAAAAGAATTTAGAAGAAGAAAAGAAAGAATGAATTTAGGTGACACTTGCCCAGCTGAGAGAAGCTTACTGTCTATTGGTCTAGAATACAGTTCAAAGCACGGCAAATTGGCAGACTCCTGGCCTATTCATATTTCCAAGTCTATGACTTCCATTTAGCAATCATATGAACGCCCTACTATGTGCATATTATTGCCCCCCAGCACAACAGTAGGGATTACATACAGAGATAATTAAGACTAGGTTGTTGTACTCCTGGAAGCTATAGGATAATTTTGTATAGGTTAAGTAGAAGACAAAATAGTTTACCATTCAAATATTATGAAACAAAGCTATGGGAGAGACTGGAGCAAAGAGAGAAATAAAATCCTTTTCTTTTCTCCAAAAGACATAATTCATGCATAGCGTTGCCTGGCATAACAGTAAGCTAGCAACACATATTCAGGAACTGTAACAACATGAGGAAATGCTAAAGGATCAGTGGTTAAGTCTTAGTTTATTTGTGACTTAAACTCATGTTTGAGAATGACATACCTACCATCAAGTTTATAACAAATGAATGAAATGATGGGGATAAAGAGTACTTGCAAGAAACCTTGAAAACAGGGCAACTGAAACAGAGAAAGATGTCCAGGACTCAGAGAAAGAGCATTACTTATCTTTTATTGTGCCCTATTTAAAAAATTAGTTGCTACTGACTCCTTTGTTTTGACCATGGTCCATTTTGAATCTTATGGCCTAATTATCAAATTCTATAACCTGGCAGGCCAAGAGGATAAATGAGAAACCTTGGCAGTTCATAAAAAACTCTTGTCATATAAGACCCAGATGTTACAGACACACGACATAGACAAACAGTAAGGCCAGCTAATAGCAAAATCAATGTCCCCCTAATATAGTAGAGGATGTAGTACTAGATTTAAAAAAAAATGGACAATGGACACACAGACAGACACAGACACACAGACAGACAGACACGGACACACAGACAGACAGACATGGACACACAGACAGACACAGACACACAGACAGACACGGACACACAGACAGACAGACACAGACACACAGACAGACACAAATGGACACACAGACAGACACGTACACACAGACAGACACGGACACACAGACAGACACGGACACACAGACAGAC